ACTCACCAGATCCTCCACCACTCCCCCCCCCCCCCCAAAGACAGAACCCCAAGGCAGACGCCAGACACTCACCAGATCCTCCCCCTCGAATCCCCCCCCCCCCCCCCCCCCCCCTTCCCAAGGGCAAACGCCAGACAGACACTCACCAGATCCTCCAGTCCCCCCCCCCCCCCCTCCCCCCACCCCCCCCCCCCCCCCCCCCCCACCCCCCAAGGCAGACGCCAGACACTCACCAGATCCTCCAGTCATCCCCCCCCCCCCCCCCCAAGGCAGACGCCAGACACTCACCAGATCCTCCAGTCATCCCCCCCCCCCCCCCAAGGCAGACGCCAGACACTCACCAGATCCTCCACTCCCCCCCCCCAAAGACAGAACCCCAAGGCAGACACCAGACACTCACCAGATCCTCCAGTCATCCCCCCCCCCCCAAGGCAGACGCCAGACACTCACCAGATCCTCCACAACCTCCAGAATCTTCTTCTTGGCAGCCTCCATACAATCCTTGGGCCCCTTGATGACCACCCGGTCGCTGCTGACACCGCTGCGGGGGAAGCTGACAATGACGCCGCCGTAGTCGTCAGCAATCTGACGCAACACCTCGCCTCGACGAGCAACAAAATGCCGGTGATACTTGGGGTCAACATGAATCTCTCCTTCAATCACGTTATCCTGTTAGAAATAAGTTCTCTCATTTATATTCGTTATTATGTATATAAACAGATTTGTTGTGTAAGTTAGGAGATAAGCTGCAAAACTGTGACAAATGGCATTATTGATGATCAGAGGAGAGCAGGAGAAAGACGCACCTAATACCTGGATGATTTGATCATGCGGCAAGGGTAGGACACGATCATCCACTTATGGCAAGGGTAGGACATGATCATCCACTTATGGTACAGGTAGGACATGATCATTCACTTATGGCAAGGGTAGGACATGATCATTCACTTATGGCAAGGGTAGGACATGATCATTCACTTATGGCAAGGGTAGGACATGATCATTCACTTATGGCAAGGGTAGGACATGATCATCCACTTATGGCAAGGGTAGGACATGATCATTCACTTATGGCAAGGGTAGGACATGATCATTCACTTATGGCAAGGGTAGGACATGATCATTCACTTATGGCAAGGGTAGGACATGATCATTCACTTATGGTACAGGTAGGACATGATCATTCACTTATGGCAAGGGTAGGACATGATCATCTACTTACGGCAAGGTTAGGACATGATCATCTACTTATGGCAAGGGTAGGACATAATCATCCACTTATGGTACAGGTAGGACATGATCATTCACTTATGGTACAGGTAGGACATGATCATCCACTTATGGCAAGGGTAGGACATGATCATCTACTTATGGTACAGGTAGGACATGATCATTCACTTATGGCAAGGGTAGGACATGATCATCTACTTACGGCAAGGGTAGGACATAATCATCCACTTATGGTACAGGTAGGACATAATCATCCACTTATGGTACAGGTAGGACATGATCATCTACTTATGGTACAGGTAGGACATGATCATCTACTTATGGTACAGGTAGGACATGATCATCCACTTATGGCAAGGGTAGGACATGATCATCCACTTATGGCAAGGGTTGGACATGATCATCTACTTATGGTACAGGTAGGACATGATCATCCACTTATGGTACAGGTAGGACATGATCATCCACTTATGGTACAGGTAGGACATGATCATCCACTTATGGTACAGGTAGAACATGATCATCCACTTATGGTACAGGCAGGACATGATAATCCACTTATGGCAAGGAAAGGACATGATCATCCACTTATGGTACATGTAGGACATAATCATCCACTTATGGCAAGGGTAGGACATGATCATCCACTTATGGTACAGGTAGGACATGATCATCCACTTATGGTACAGGTAGGACATGATCATCCACTTATGGTACAGGTAGGACATGATCATCCACTTATGGTACAGGCAGGACATGATAATCCACTTATGGCAAGGAAAGGACATGATAATCCACTTATGGTACAGGTAGGACATAATCATCCACTTATGGCAAGGGTAGGACATGATCATCCACTTATGGTACAGGTAGGACATGATCATCCACTTATGGTACAGGTAGGACATGATCATCCACTTATGGCAAGGGTAGGACATGATCATCCACTTATGGCAAGGGTAGGACATGATCATCCACTTATGGTACGGGTAGGACATGATCATCCACTTATGGTACAGGTAGGACATAATCATCTACTTACGGCAAGGGTAGGACATGATCATCCACTTATGGTACAGGTAGGACATGATCATTCACTTATGGCAAGGGTAGGACATAATCATCCACTTATGGCAAGGGTAGGACATGATCATCCACTTATGGTACAGGTAGGACATATTCATCCACTTATGGTACAGGTAGGACATGATCATTCACTTATGGCAAGGGTAGGACATGATCATCTACTTATGGTACGGGTAGGACATGATCATCCACTTATGGTACAGGTAGGACATGATCATCCACTTATGGTACAGGTAGGACATGATCATCCACTTATGGTACAGGTAGGACATGATCATCCACTTATGGTACAGGCAGGACATGATAATCCACTTATGGCAAGGAAAGGACATGATCATCCACTTATGGTACAGGTAGGACATAATCATCCACTTATGGCAAGGGTAGGACATGATCATCCACTTATGGTACAGGTAGGACATGATCATCCACTTATGGTACAGGTAGGACATGATCATCCACTTATTGGCAAGGACCATGACATGACTGATCCCCCATCCACTTATGGTACAGGTAGGACATGATAATCCACTTATGGTACAGGTAGGACATGATCATCCACTTATGGTACAGGTAGAACATGATCATTCACTTATGGTACAGGTAGGACATGATCATGCACTTATGGTACAGGCAGGACATGATCATCTACTTACGGCAAGGGTAGGACATAATCATCCACTTATGGCAAGGGTAGGACATGATCATCCACTTATGGTACAGGCAGGACATGATCATGCACTTATGGTACAGGCAGGACATGATCATCTACTTACGGCAAGGGTAGGACATGATCATCTACTTATGGTACAGGTAGGACATGATCATCTACTTATGGCAAGGGTAGGACATAATCATCTACTTATGGTACAGGTAGGACATGATCATCTACTTATGGCAAGGGTAGGACATGATCATCTACTTATGGCAAGGGTAGGACATAATCATCCACTTATGGCAAGGGTAGGACATGATCATCTACTTATGGTACAGGTAGGACATGATCATCTACTTATGGCAAGGGTAGGACATAATCATCCACTTATGGCAAGGGTAGGACATGATCATCCACTTATGGTACAGGTAGGACATAATATTCCACTTATGGTACAGGTAGGACATGATCATCCACTTATGGTACAGGTAGGACATGATCATCCACTTATGGTACAGACAGGACATGATCATCCACTTATGATACAGGTAGGACATGATCATCCACTTATGGTACAGGTAGGACATGATCATCCACTTATGGTACAGGTAGGACATGATCATCCACTTATGGTACAGGCAGGACATGATAATCCACTTATGGCAAGGAAAGGACATGATCATCCACTTATGGTACAGGTAGGACATGATCATCCACTTATGGTACAGGCAGGACATGATAATCCACTTATGGCAAGGAAAGGACATGATCATCCACTTATGGTACAGGTAGGACATAATCATCCACTTATGGCAAGGGTAGGACATGATCATCCACTTTTGGTACAGGTAGGACATGATCATCCACTTATGGTTCAGGTAGGACATGATCATCTACTTATGGTACAGGTAGGACATGATAATCCACTTATGGTACAGGTAGGACATGATCATCAACTTATGGTATGGGTAGGACATGATCATCAACTTATGCATCACCTTAGAAAGACCACATCAAAGATCCTTAACCCCCTCTCTGCACTGGGGTAACTGGAGAAAGAGAAAAAGACAAAGAAGAAAGAACATAAACGATCTGTGATTATGCTGATCCAATGAGGCAGCCAGCCATACTTATCAGAGGATCTCTAATCCAAGCAATCTAGTCACCCTAACAGGGAACACAAAAGACAACAATGAGCCACGAGTCTTATCAGGGAACACAAAAGACAACAATGAGCTACGAGTCTTATCAGGGCACACAAAAGACAACAATGAGCCACGAGTCTTATCAGGGATCACAAAAGACAACAAGGAGTCATGAGTCCTATCAGGGAACACAAAAGACAACAATGAATCATGAGTCTATCATTGAACACAAAAGACAACAATGAGCCACTAGTCTTATCAGGGAACACAAAAGACAACAATGAGCCACGAGTCTTATCAGGGAACACAAAAGACAACAATGAGCCACGAGTCTTATCAGGGAACACAAAAGACAACAATGAATCATGAGTCTATCATTGCACACAAAAGACAACAATGAGCCACTAGTCTTATCAGGGAACACAAAAGACAACAATGAGCCACGAGTCTTATCAGGGAACACAAAAGACAACAATGAGCCACGAGTCTTATCAGGGAACACAAAAGACAACAATGAATCATGAGTCTATCATTGCACACAAAAGACAACAATGAGCCACGAGTCTTATCGGGGAACACAAAAGACAACAATGAGCCACGAGTCTTATCAGGGCACACAAAAGACAACAATGAATCATGAGTCTTATCAGGGAACACAAGAGATAATAATGAACCATGAATCTACAAGGAAACACAAGAGATAACAATAAACCAGGAGTTTACCAGGGCACACAAGAGACAAGGAAAAAACCCTAAATATACCAGGGCACACAGGAGACAAAAAAAAAAAAACATAAGTTTACCATGGTACACAAGAGACAAGAAAAATCCGAGCATTTACCAGGTTCTTCACCAGCAACTCCAGCTCAGCCTTGGCCTGCTTAACTCCCTCCTCTTTGCCGATGATAAAAATAGTTTCTTGGTCGGGGTCATTCTGATTGGGGAATACGATGCGCACACCAGTACTCTCTCTGACCTGGTTTTCAAATACACAACACAATAATAAGATTAACACAGTCACTGGGGAAAAAAACGCATCCGACTATCTTAACTAAATAATCACCAATCAAAATAGTGGAAACGCAGAATGAAAAAGTACAATCAAATTCATCATCATCATTGTCTCGCTGACTGGCATAGGCGATCACGCCTCTTCACCTGTGATCCAACAGCATGTATCCTGCTTTCACCGGGTCACTGATATAAACTAGAAAGAGAGCTGGAGAGACAAGTCCTCCCTGATAACTTCCTTGATTAAGCAACACTTTTCTGTTCTGCTGGACATCAAGAGTAACTCTAGTTTTCCTGTTGTGTAAAGAAGGATTGGATCTATCATAGTACGTTTCCTTTGATTCCACTTCTCCTCAGTTTTGCAACGAGGTAATCTTTCCACACTTTGTCAGAAGCTTGTCTGAAGTCAAGACAAGTCTGTATTATATTCTATAATGTATATTTTTATTCTATATCTATAACATGCATTTTAGATAACAGGCATTGGTACTCTGAAAAACGAGTGCCTAGAAGGGCCGAATGTCAGACGGGCCTGCATGCCCAATTTGTAACCCTTTGAAAATAAAGTTTGTTCTTTCGTTCGTTCAACCCACACTGCCAGGACCTTGAAAGGAATCCTCTACAGCAGCGGTACCCAAACTTCCTAATGCCGCGACCCTTTAATACAATCCTTTTGGTTCGGCGACCCCCAACCATACAATTATGTTTGTGGCTACTTCATAACTTCTATGAATACATTTTTTCCGATGGTCATTGGCGACACATGTGAAAGGGTCGTTTGACCCACAAGTTGAGAACCACTCTTCCACAGCTTGTAACTTGGTCTTCTATGCTGTAACATTCTCTAAATCCAGCCTGCTCTGTCACCAAGATCTGTTCAGAATCTAAGTGCCATATCAGTCTAGAACTGATAATTCCCTCCAATGTCTTTCCTACACAGCTCGTGAGGCTGGTCGATAGCCTGAAACCTGGGTCTTAATTTTTTTCTTTTATTTAAATATGTGTTTTGTGATGGCTTCTCTCCAAATTTGAGCACAGATTAATCAGCATTTCTTTGCTTATTTCATCCAGACCAGAATACTTCTTTTTTTCTAAATTAAGCTTAAAAAGGGCATTTTGAAGTTTACCTATGGTGAAGGGCCCCATCATAGGCTAACAGACAGAAAAGTTTATGGGACACTGCCCTGTACCCATCTTCAGAACCAAGCGCAGAGTTCCTATTCTGACGGTACCAGTAACAGTCTGGCTATATATTTGTCTCATCTTTCCCTTGGGCATCGGCCAGATCTCCTAGGCACTTCTCGCAGCACCATGATGATCCACCGTGTCAACTGACCACTATCCAACATCATCAGGTAGCACCTGCTGTGCTGCACATCCCTCCCTATAGGACCTGACAGAATGACATTCAGCCACGGCCCAAAGTGTCAGGGATGTTCTGTGCTGACCGTCAAACTGGCTGATCCATGCTTCAGGTATTGTCCTTTTAGAACCAACCATCACCACGTGGGTTCCAGGGCTCCATTACGAGGAAAACAAGAACAGACCCACCTCCTCCCCAACAAGGATGTCACAAGAGTCGACTAATTGTGCATCTGCTTGAGAATTAAGGAACCAACAATCTGCACACAATAAAGTCAGATTTGTTAAAAACTATGTGTATGCAACACTCACTAACTGGAAACAGACTAAAGTCTAGAGGTGGACAAACAACTAGAACTTTCCAACTGAGTTCACAGCCAGTGTATGCAAAAAGAAGAAGCAGAAGAAGAAGAAGAAGATGAAGAAGAAGAAGCAGAAGAAGAAGAAGAAAAAGAAGGGAAAAAGAAGAAGAAGAAAAAGAATGGAAAAAGAAGAAGAAAAAGAATGGAAAAAGAAGAAGAAGAAGAAGAAGAATGGAAAAAGAAGAAGAAGAAGAAGAAGAAGAAGAAGAAAAAGAAAAAGAAGAAGATGACAAAAAAGAAGAAGAAAAAGAAGAGGAAGAAGAAAAAAAGAAGAAGAAGAAGAAGATGGTGATGATGACACCACAAGAAGAAGAATAGGATCAGCCATTTCTAACCCTCTTCTCTCTCAAATGTGAAATAAATAATGTCCCAAAGCTGATTGGTCTCACCTTTCTGATATTAGCTCCCCCTCGTCCAATCAAAAACTTGTGATACTGTGGTTTTGCTTTCACTTCTGCTGTGAAACCAGACTCTTTCTGCAAAATCAAAAACAACATATGTACCAGTTTAACTATGAACCAGTATGTCATGACATATGTAACGTAAGGGATGTACAGGTTCTGAACCATACATGGTGCTGCGTCAGAACCAGGGATCATACAGGTTAAGTCCCCGTGTTGGTTCCAAGAAAAACAAAGAATAGACCCACTGCCTCCCTAACAAGCATGTCGTAAGAGCCAACTAAGTGGGGGGTTTCCTTTGAAGTCGGAGTGCATCTACCTGAGAGGCAAGGAACCAACATCCTGCATACAAATAAGTCATCTGTAAAACGGATGTGCATGCAACATTCAGGTCTAAAGTCCAGAGGTTGAGAAACAACCAGAATTGTCTGCTGGAGTTTACAACCAGTGAAGGGTTTACAACCAGTGAAGGGTTTACAACCAGTGAAGGGTTACAACCAGTGAAGGGTTTACAACCAGTGAAGAGTTTACAACCAGTGAAGGGTTACAACCAGTGAAGGGTTTACAACCAGTGAAGAGTTTACAACCAGTGAAGGGAAAGAAGACATAAGATACGGGTCACACCTACTCATATCTCTTTACTGGTATCCTTGAAACACGTTCACACCTGGCAGACCAGCCAACGTAGAGCTTTGGTGAGCTTCACCACCTGTGAGTTTCAGTCTCCGAAAGATGGACCAAGGATCTTGTTAAAGATCTTACTTGTTGCTGGCACCTTTCCCTATTTCCAGACTATAGTGTTATACTGCGGTTTCAGGAGGCGTGGAACTTAAGCCAACAGTTATGGCAAGTGTGACTAGCAAGACGCACCCGAGTGGAGAAAAGTCTTCCACAATTAAAGCTTGGGATATCAGGACCGCTGTTACCATCGTACATATTTAGTATGCTTTTTCTTAGAGGCTCATCTCTCATCCTTTCTGCAATCATTTCTTCCATCATTCTCATTCTCTCCGTGATTTACCCCCTCCAGGCAACATGGAAAGATCTCACTTACAGTGCTAATATTGGCTTTCCACAGTTGATAAGTACCAGTTGCTCGTGTAAGTTTCACTGCCTCATTTCGACGAAAAACAGAACAGACCCATTGCTCCCTTACTAGCAAGTAATGAAAGATGACCAATTAGAGACTGGTTGAAATCGGATATGTTCAGCTCTTTTTCTTCTTCTTGTGTTTGCTTTCTGATTTAAACTGACAGACAGTTCTTGTGATAAACTTGACTGTTTTTAGCAGCTGTTTGTTAGTTCCATACAACTTTGTGTACAGTGTTGACTCACTTGGCCAGTATTCCCTTCTTCATTGGCTGAACAATGGACATTCTTGCAGGACATGTTCTGTAGTCTGCACACACAGCCCACAACAGTGAACTACAGAGACGAAACCTATGAATCGGCTTGTTAAGTTTGTTATGACCTATCCTGTGGTGTAGAATAATGACCTGCCCATGCAGATCAAGTAATGGGTGGTCATCTCTGGCCAGACCCTTTTCTTTTTATAGTAATAAGGGGCTGAAAGCTGCAGATTTCACAGCCTAGCTGTAAACCACTAGACAACATTTCAACCACCCTTTTGAGGGCAAATGCAGAGAAAGAAGAAGAAAATGAGCACCAACGAAGAAACAGACAATCAAACGAGAACACATAAATAGATCAGCAACAGTCATGTAACACCATACTCACCCTCTCATTGACCAAATCCAGAAGCTGTTGTTTGGCGTTGTCAACATCGGCACTGGGCCCTCGTATCGTCACCTTGTCACTCTTAGCCCCTTCCTGGGGGAAGCGGATCATGACGCCCCCACACTCCTCACTGATGGAGCGGATAAATCGGCCCTTGGCTCCGATCAGAGAGTTGTGCAGTCTCTGAGGAATTTCTATGGTGATTTCTTTGATGTTGCCCTGAAAGAAAAATGAAACCACTTAATGTTGGCCCTCCAGAACTCCAACATACTGCCCTGAAAGAAAATACAACAACATGTATGGGTTCCGGGGCCTCACTGTAAGGACAAGAGTAGACCTACTGCCTCCCAACAAGCATGTCGTCTAACTGGGGGCTTCCTTCGGAGTCGAGTGCATCTGCCTGAGAGGCAAGAAACCAATAATCTGCACACAATTAAAATTAACTTAGATCTCTCAATCGGATGTGCAGGCAACACTCAGGTTCTGGAACCAGTCAAAAGTCCAGAGGTGGACAAACAACCAGAACTTTCTGCCGGAGTTCACAGCCAGTGAACGCGAAGAAGAAGAAGCAAGAGAGCCTTGGTATGTGCTAGGTAGATGCTGGTATTTATGGCCTTGGATATTCCATCTATCCATTGCTTGTGTCGTTGGGTGTGCTTTCAATATGTCTAAGTCACAGATTTCAAAGTCTCTCTGTGGGCACTTTAAAAAAAAATACATAAGCAAATTTTGCTATAACAGGAGCATTATGAGGGGGCTTCAAGGAAAACCTTTAAAGTTTTATAGAATTACAATAATAATTTTACTGTCATGTGATTTGCCAATATTGTTGTTAAGGATGTCAAGAGTGTTAAGCCTTGCCATCACAGTGCAGACGAACAGGGTAAAACCATAAGGACATTTTCAAGACAGGCGCCCCACTTCTGACATGCACTAAAGAGCAGCAACATTCTGTTAAGCAGTTTTTTTTTAAAAGTTTGTAAACTATCAAATGTAGCCAATCTCACACTAACCCTCCTTAGTCTCAGCTTAGGACATGCATGGCGGGTCAGGGAGAAGAGAAGCAGCAGCAGGAGAATAAAGAGGAGGAGAAGAAGAAGAAGAATACATACCATCTCCTTCTGAATGGCTTCGATCTTGGCCTGTGCCTTCTCCACATTGGACTTCTTGCCGGTGATGGTGATGACGTCGCTGTCGCTGTTCTCGCTGGGCAGGTCAATCTTGGTATCAGTCTCCTCCCTGATCTGTGCCAGGAGAAAGTTCATCAGTTACATCACACGCATCAATACATGCAAGCAGGTGCACGCTCAAGAGGGGTAAAAAAATAAGAGACATACCTGGGCAACCACTAGTAGCAACAGATATGAGAACATTGATTGTTGAATTAAGAACAACATCATAACTCTTGGGACACTCCCATAAGAGCTTCAGCAGCAAGCGAAGAGTTCTAATTCCGATAGCACCAGTAACTGTCTGATTGTAAATCCATTTCACCTTTCCCTTGAGTGTTGACCGGATCCCCTGATCACTTCCTGCAACGCCATTCTCGTCAGACGGTAATGATCTAATGGGGCCTCCGTACTGTTCACTCGCTCCCAAAAGGCCCTCACATCTAGACTGTCATACATCAATTTACCACCAAGTGGTGAAGAACCAGCCAGTCTATCCGCCTGCTTGTTGGGGAAAAACAAACACACCCATGCTCCCTAACATGCATGACTTAAACGTTGACTTCTGGAACAAGATCATAGTCCAGAAGTGGACAAAACCCAGAACTTTCGCTGGAGCGTACAGTCGGTGAACGCAAGGAGGAAGAAGAAGGATGGTGATTTAAACAGATGATACATTTCTGTTTCTCACTTTTTATTCTCTGCTGTCTGCATCTTTGGTGTACATAGGATTGTATGTATTTGTTCTCCAGGCTTTTATTGTGTGCGTGAGAGCAAGTGTGTATATTCATATTAAAGACATAAATTCACTCAAGGACGGTGGTTAGATTTGACCAAACCCTAACACAACAAGTACCTTTTTGATGGTGATTCCTCCTTTGCCAATGATGTTTTTGTGGAAGTCCTTGAAAATGTGTACCTGGGCTTGGTAGTTGTTCTCAACCTGGCCAAACAAACAACAAAAACATTCACATCAGATTTTACGCACAGTTTGTGATAAATATTCAACACAAGATGCCAGATTTCACACACAATCTATGCCAAATTTCATCCTTATATGCTAGAATGTACACGCAATTTAGGATATTCAACACAAGATGGTAGATTATACACACTTTATGATCAATATTCAACACATGATATCAGATTTTTTACATATGTAAAATATTCAACACAAGATACCAGATTTTGCACATAATTTATGCCAAATATTAAACACAAAATGCAAGATTTCACTCAAAATGTATATCAAATACTCAATGTAAGATCTCAGATTTCACATACAATCTACACCAAAATTTATTAATCCTAATCTGCCAAATTTCATATACAATCAATGTCAAATATTCAGCATAAGAAGCCAGGTTTCTCACACAATCTATGACAAGACTCAACATAAGATGTCAGATTTCACACATAATCTGCCAAATATTCAACATAAGATGCCAGATTTCTCACATAGTCTATGTCAATGGTCAATATAAGATACCATTTCACTAAAATGTATGCTAAAAATAAATCAACATAGGATGCCAGATTTCACACATAATCAATGCCAAAAATCACTCAAAATAAGATGCTAAATTTATCTATACTAAAAATCAATCAACACAAGTGTCAGGGGCCTGTGTGGCTAGGGAAGGACTGCAGGTGACGATAGTGACTGATGGACTAGCACTTAGATGACCACTTAGCAACTACGTGTTCAACAGTCCATAGAGACTCAGACAAGGACTATGTAAAAGATGAATAAAGACTCCAGGATACACAAAAGGCTTACTGAACAAAACGGACAGAGTGAATAGTTATAAGGGAAGTTGCACAGAGACCTGGACTAGACTGCACCAAGAGGTTGCACAGAGACCTGGACTGCACCAGGAGGTTGCACAGAGACCTGGACTAGACTGGACCAAGAGGTTGCACAGAGACCTGGACTGGACCAATAGGTTGCACATAGACCTGGACTAGACTGGACCAAGAGGTTGCACAGAGACCTGGACTAGACTGGACCAAGAGGTTGCGCAGAGACCTGGACTGGACCAAGAGGTTGCACATAGACCTGGATGGACCAATAGGTTGCACAGAGACATGGACTGGACCAATAGGTTGCACAGAGACGTGGACTGGACCAAGAGGTTGCACAGAGACCAGGACTGGACCAAGAGGTTGCACAGAGACGTGGACTGGACCAAGAGGTTGCACAGAGACCTGGACTGGACCAAGAGGTTGCACAGAGACATGGACTGGACCAAGAGGTTGCACAGAGATCTGGACTTGACCAAGAGGTTGCACAGAGACCTGGACCAAGAGGTTGGACTGACTGACCAAGAGGTTGCACAGAGACCTGGACTGGACCAAGAGGTTGCACAGAGACCTGGACTGGCACAGAGACCTGGACTGCACCAAGAGGTTGCACACATAGCACCTGGACTGCACCAAGAGGTTGCACAGAGACCTGGACTGGACCAAGAGGTTGCACAGAGACGTGGACTGGACCAAGAGGTTGCACAGAGACACCAAGAGGTTGGACTGGGACCAAGAGGTTGCACAAGAGGTTGCACAGAGACCTGGACTGGACCTGGAACCAAGAGGTTGCTCAGAGAGGTGGGACAGAGACCTGGACTGGACCAAGAGGTTGCACAGAGATCTGGACTTGACCAAGAGGTTGCACAGAGATATGGACTGCACCAAAAGGTTGCACAGAGACATGGACTAGACTGGACCAAGAGGTTGCACAGAGATCTGGACTGCACCAAGAGGTTGCACAGAGAGGTGGACTGCACCAAGAGGTTGCACAGAGACCTGGACTGGACCAAGAGGTTGCACAGAGACGTGGAGGTGCCACAGGACCTGGGCCTGGACCAAGAGGTTGCCAAGAGGTTGCACAGAGAGGTGGAGACCAAGAGGTTGCACAGAGATGGACTGGACTGACGTGGACCAAGAGGTTGCACAGAGATCTGAGACTGGACTGGACCAAGAGGTTGCACAGAGTGGTGGACTTGGACCAAGAGGTTGCACAGAGAGACCTGGACTGGACCAAGGGGTGTGCACAGAGAAGTGGACTGGAGAGACCAAGAGGTTGCACAGAGAGGTTGCACTGGACTGGACTGGACCAAGAGGTTGCACAGAGTGGTTGCACAAGAGGTTGCACAGAGAGGGACTGGACCAAGAGGTTGCACAGAGACCTGGACTGGACCAAGAGGTTGCACAGAGACCTGGACTGGACCAAGAGGTTGCACACAAGAGGTGGACTGGACCAAGAGGTTGCACACATCTGGAGATCTGGACTGGACCAAGAGGTTGCACAGAGACCTGGACTGGAGAGGTTGGATGGACTGGACCAAGAGGTTGCACAGAGACCTGGACTGGACCAAGAGGTTGCACAGAGACCTGGACTGGACCAAGAGGGTTGCACAGAGAGAGTGGACTGGACCAAGAGGTTGCACAGAGACATGGACTGGACCAAGAGGTTGCACAGAGACTGGACTGGACCAAGAGACCAAGACCTGTGCTTGCACAGAGAGGTGGACTGGACCAAGAGGTTGCACAGAGACCTGGACTGGACCAAGAGGTTGCACAGAGACCTGGACTGGACCAAGAGGTTGCACAGAGACCTGGACTGGACCAAGAGGTTGGACACAGAGACTGGACTGGACCAAGAGGTTGCACAAGAGGTTGCACAGAGACCTGGGACTGGACTGGACCAAGAGGTTGCACATAGACCTGGACTGGACCAAGAGGTTGCACAGAGAGACTGGACTGGACCAAGAGGTTGCACTAGACTGGACTGGACCAAGAGGTTGCACAGAGATCTGGACTGGACCAAGAGGTTGCACAGAGATCTGGACTGGACCAAGAGGTTGCACAGAGATCTGGACTGGACTGGACTGACCAAGAGGTTGCACAGAGACCTGGACTGGACCAAGAGGTTGCACAGAGATCTGGACTGGACCAAGAGGTTGCACATAGATCTGGACTGGACCAAGAGGACAGAGGTCTGGACTGGACCTGGACTGAGACCAGGAGGTTGCAAAGAGAGGTGGATTGGACCAAAAGGTTGCACAGAGAGGTGGATTGGACCAAGAGGTTGCACAGAGACCTGGACTAGACTGCACCAAGAGGTTGCACAGAGACCTGGACTGCCCCAAGAGGTTGCACATAGACGTGGACTGGACCAAGAGGTTGCACAGAGACCTGGACTGCACCAAGAGGTTGCACAGAGACATGGACTGGACCAAGAGGTTGCACAGAGACCTGGACTGGACCAAGAGGTTGCACATAGACCTGGACTGGACCAAGAGGTTGTACAGAGACATGGACTGGACCAAGAGGTTGCACAGAGACATGGACTGGACCAAGAGGTTGCACAGAGATCTGGACTGCACCAAGAGGTTACTCAGAGGTCTGGACTGGACCAAGAGGTTGCTCAGAGGTCTGGACTGGACCAAGAGGTTGCACAGAGACCAGGACTGGACCAATAGGTTGCACAGAGACCTGGACTGGACCAAGAGGTTGCACAGAGACCTGGACTGGACCAAGGGGTTGCACAAAGAGGTGGACTGGACCAAGAGGTTGCACAAAGAGGTGGATTGGACCAAGAGGTTGCACAGAGAGGTGGATTGGACCAAGAGGTTGCACAGAGACCAGGACTGGACTGGACCAAGAGGTTGCACAGAGATCTGGACTGCACCAAGAGGTTGCACAGAGAGGTGGACTGCACCAAGAGGTTGCACTAAGACCTGGACTAGACTGGACCAAGAGGTTGCACAGAGATCTGGACTGCACCAGGTTTCACAGAGAGGTGGACTGCACCAAGAGGTTGCACAGAGACCTGGACTGGACCAAGAGGTTGCACAGATACATGGACTGGACCAAGAGGTTGCACAGAGACGTGGACTGGACCAAGAGGTTGCACAGAGATCTGGACTGCACCAAGAGGTTACTCAGAGGTCTGGACTGGACCAAGAGGTTGCACAGAGACCAGGACTGGACCAATAGGTTGCACAGAGACCTGGACTGGACCAAGAGGTTGCACAGAGACCTGGACTGGACCAAGGGGTTGCACAAAGAGGTGGACTGGACCAAGAGGTTGCACAAAGAGGTGGATTGGACCAAGAGGTTGCACAGAGATCTGGACTGGACTAAGAGGTTGTCAGAGACCTGGACTGGACCAAGAGGTTGCACAGAGACCTGGACTGGACCAAGAGGTTGCACATAGATCTGGACTGGACCAAGAGGTTGCACATAGACCTGGACTGGACCAAGAGGTTGCACAGAAAGGTGGATTGGACCAAGAGGTTGCACAGAGAGGTGGATTGGACCAAGAGGTTGCACAGAGACCTGGACTAGACTGCACCAAGAGGTTGCACAGAGACCTGGACTGCACCAAGAGGTTGCACATAGACGTGGACTGGACCAAGAGGTTGCACAGAGACCTGGACTGCACCAAGAGGTTGCACAGAGACAAGGACTGGACCAAGAGGTTGCACAGAGACGTGGACTGGACCAAGAGGTTGCACAGAGACCTGGACTGGACCAAGAGGTTGCACAGAGATGTGGACTGGACCAAGAGGTTGCACAGAGACGTGGACTGGACCAAGAGGTTGCACAGAGATCTGGACTGCACCAAGAGGTTGCACAGAGACCTGGACTAGACTGCACCAAGAGGTTGCACAGAGACCTGGACTGGACCAAGAGGTTGCACAGAGACGTGGACTGGACCAAGAGGTTGCACAGAGACCTGGACTGGACCAAGAGGTTGCACAGAGACGTGGACTGGACCAAGAGGTTGCACAGAGACGTGGACTGGACCAAGAGGTTGCACAGAGATCTGGACTGCACCAAGAAGTTGCACAGAGGTCTGGACTGGACCAAGATGTTGCACAGAGACCAGGACTGGACCAATAGGTTGCACAGAGACTTGGACTGGACCAAGAGGTTGCACAGAGACCTGGACTGGACCAAGGGGTTGCACAAAGAGGTGGATTGGACCAAGAGGTTGCACAAAGAGGTGGATTGGACCAAGAGGTTGCACAGAGAGGTGGATTGGACCAAGAGGTTGCACAGAGACCAGGACTGGACCAGGAGGTTGCACAGAGATCTGGACTGGACCAAGAGGTTGCACAGAGAAGTGGATTGGACCAAGAGGTTGCACATAGACCTGGACTGGACCAAGAGGTTGCACAGAGAGGTGGATTGGACCAAGAGGTTGCACAGAGACCTGGACTGGACCAAGAGGTTGCACAGAGACCTGGACTGGACCAAGAGGTTGCACAAAGACCTGGACTGGACCAAGAGGTTGCACATAGACCTGGACTGGACCAAGAGGTTGCACATAGACCTGGACTGGACCAAGAGGTTGCACAGAAAGGTGGATTGGACCAAGAGGTTGCACAGAGACCTGGACTAGACTGCACCAAGAGGTTGCACAGAGACCTGGACTGGACCAAGAGGTTGCACATAGACATGAACTGGACCAAGAGGTTGCACAGAGACATGGACTGGACCAAGAGGTTGCACAGAGACATGGACTGGACCAAGAGGTTGCACAGAGACCTGGACTGGACCAAGAGGTTGCACAGAGACCTGGACTGGACCAAGAGGTTGCACAGATACCTGGACTGCACCAAAAGGTTGCACAGATACCTGGACTGCACCAAAAGGTTGCACAGAGACCTGGACTGGACCAAGGGGTTGCACAAAGAGGTGGACTGGACCAAGAGGTTGCACAAAGAGGTGGATTGGACCAAGAGGTTGCACAGAGAGGTGGATTGGACCAAGAGGTTGCACAGAGACCAGGACTGGACCAAGAGGTTGCACAAAGATCTGGACTAGACCAAGAGGTTGCACAGAGAAGTGGATTGGACCAAGAGGTTGCAAATAGACCTGGACTGGACCAAGAGGTTGCACAGAGAGGTGGATTGGATCAAGAGGTTGCACATAGACCTGGACTGGACCAAGAGGTTGCACAGAGACTTGGACTAGACTGGACCAAGAGGTTGCACATAGACCTGGACTGGACCAAGAGGTTGCACAGAGATCTGGACTGGACCAAGAGGTTGCACAGAGATGACTGGACAAAGAGGTTGTCAGAGACCTGGACTGGACCAAGAGGTTGCACAGAGACCTGGACTGGACCAAGAGGTTGCACATAGATCTGGACTGGACCAAGAGGTTGCACATAGACCTGGACTGGACCAAGAGGTTGCACAGAAAGGTGGATTGGACCAAGAGGTTGCACAGAGAGGTGGATTGGACCAAGAGGTTGCACAGAGACCTGGACTAGACTGCACCAAGAGGTTGCACAGAGACCTGGACTGCACCAAGAGGTTGCACATAGACGTGGACTGGGCCAAGAGGTTGCACAGAGACCTGGACTGCACCAAGAGGTTGCACAGAGACATGGACTGGACCAAGAGGTTGCACAGAGACCTGGACTGGACCAAGAGGTTGCACAGAGACTTGGACTAGACTGGACCAAGAGGTTGCACATAGACCTGGACTGGACCAAGAGGTTGCACAGAGATCTGGACTGGACCAAGAGGTTGCACAGAGATCTGGACTGGACTAAGAGGTTGTCAGAGACCTGGACTGGACCAAGAGGTTGCACAGAGACCTGGACTGGACCAAGAGGTTGCACATAGATCTGGACTGGACCAAGAGGTTGCACATAGACCTGGACTGGACCAAGAGGTTGCACAGAAAGGTGGATTGGACCAAGAGGTTGCACAGAGAGGTGGATTGGACCAAGAGGTTGCACAGAGACCTGGACTAGACTGCACCAAGAGGTTGCACAGAGACCTGACTGCACCAAGAGGTTGCACATAGACGTGGACTGGGCCAAGAGGTTGCACAGAGACCTGGACTGCACCAAGAGGTTGCACAGAGACATGGACTGGACCAAGAGGTTGCACAGAGACCTGGACTGGACCAAGAGGTTGCACATAGACCTGGACTGGACCAAGAGGTTGCACAGAGACATGGACTGGACCAAGAGGTTGCACAGAGACATGGACTGGACCAAGAGGTTGCACAGAGAGGTGGACTGGACCAAGAGGTTGTATTATGGCTGCTAGGCTTAACCATAACTGAGTTAGGTTAGTGACGCAGTGACGGTTAGTTTGTGATAATGTGTTAGTTTAAAAGTATTACAACTGAAGTGTTAGTATGCAGTGTAACGTCTGTGACAAACCAGTGAATGCAAAGACGACGACGTCATGGGCATGGTTCCTAGGCGACTGGGCACAGTGTCGACTGTTCGATCACAATACCTAGTGCCGTTGCAGCAGCACAGCGGCCGTGGTGTAAGTTACAGGGGTGCAGGAAAGAGCATGGATCAGAGGCGGTTGGTTCAGACCTGGTTAACGTCTAGAAGCAACTGCCGGTGGGAGCAGGGTTATAACTCGAGCCACCCCTGAGGCCAACTACCTACTGTTTTTATAAGTATTTTAAAGGTCGATGTGTATGTTTAACAGTGTCAGATCAGTTGTGTCTGAGATAGACACCTGTCATGAAGTTGCTGACGAGCCACTGCCATTGAGGCGGTAAGCAGCTCTCTGACAATAAGATGCCACATGTCACACACAATGTACGTCAAAGATTATTCTACATGTCACAATCTTTGCTAAAACTCATATTATTTTTTTTTATGTTGCTATTTGTCTGACAGCACAACTGTTTGTGTTTCTTGCTGTTTTTTGCTACACTTCTTGTCTTCTTCAACAACTGTCTTAAGAGGGTGCTTGGCATATATTGTTGTATACAGCTAGGCCGTGATATCTGATAACACATTCAAATTCAGTCAACTCTGAAATAGTCACCTTTCACAGTTTGTTTTTAAGGCGCTGTAAATCCCCCCCTCCTTCCCCCCCCCCCCCCATTCTAGCTATACTTTGCGTACTGTCTGTCCAAATTTCTGTTTTAGCTGCACCTCCCCTTTTCTCTCCCACAGTCTGTTCTGTCTTTCCAGTGATTTACCCAAAGCTCTCTCCCTCGTGCTCTCAGGTTTTCTCATTGTGTGTCCTATTCAACACTAGCATCTCTTTCTCTCCTCCTGACTGACTGGAATCTGTTTAGTTCTCTCCCAAAGCTCTACATCAGTGATTCTATTACACCATTCAACTCCTTCTATTCTGTGTATAACCAGTTTATGAAGATTTGTAGTTTATTACTAACTGTTGTAGTTGTTCTAATCTTAACATTAAGAACACAAACATTATGACAAAATAAACTTACCAAATCTTTGGCCAAGTTCTGTAAATGTTTGTGGGCCTTGTCGACGTCATTCTTTGGTCCTCGTAACGTGACAACGTCACTTTTCTTGCCAGGGTCAGGGAATGTAATCTGTACCTGGTTGAACTTGTCCCGGATTTCTTTAATGTTCTCTCCCTTGGCTCCAATAATTTGTCGATGAAATCTGTGTTCGATGATGATGTCTCGCGTCTTCTCATTCTCCTGTGACAGAATGTTTGTTGTTGAAAGAAAATTAATGTGTTGGAATGTTTAGGTTGTTTACAAAATGTTACAGACAAACCCTAACTACAACATCTAAAAATGTTACAAACCCTAACTACAACATCTAAAATGTTACAGACAAACCCTAACTACAACATCTAAAATGTTACAGACAAATCCTAACTACAACATATAATATGCTACAGACAAACCCTAACTACAACAACTAAAATGTTAAGACAAACCCTAACTACAACAACTAAAATGTTACAGACAAACCCTAACTACAACATCTAAAATGTTACAAACAAACCATATCTACAACATCTAAAATGTTACAGACAAATCCTAACTACAATATCTAAAATGTTACAGACAAACCCAAACTACAACATCTAAAATGTTCCAGACAAACCCTAAATACAACATATAAAATATTACAGACAAGCCCTAACTACAACATCTAAAATGTTAAGACAAACCCTAACTACAACATCTAAAATGTTAAGACAAACCCTAACTACAACATCTAAAATGTTACAGACAAACCCTAACTACAACATCTAAAATGTTAAGACAAACCCTAACTACAACATCTAAAATGTTAAGACAAACCCTAACTACAACAATAATATGCTACAGACAAGCCCTAACTACAACATCTAAAATGTTAAGACAAACCCTAACTACAACTAAAATGTTACAGACAAACCCTAACTACAACATCTAAAATATTACAAACAAACCCTGTCTACAACATCTAAAATGTTACACATAAACCCTATATAGAACATCTAAAATGTTAAAGACAAACCACATCTACAACATCTAAAATGTTACACACAAACTCCATCTACAATAGCTGAAATGTTACTGACAAGCCCTATTTACAACACCTAGAATGTGCCACATAAACCCTATCTACAAAATCTAAAACGTTACCTACAACATGTATAATGTTGCACAACTTATCGACAACATTAACCACAACCAACCATTCTGTTGGCCATTTCCAGCAGTTGTTCTTTAGCAATCTTCACTCCCTGTGGCTCCCCTTCAATGCGGATGATGTTGCTGTTGTCCCCATCCGAGGGAATCCGGATGGCCACTCCTGTTTCCTGTTTGATCCGCGTGACTGAAAGTGATCATACATCCGGCAATTAGAATTTCAGAACCAGAAAAGATATAGAATTTTTTTTAATGATGTCATTTCTTCTTCATTTTCACTGGCTCTAAACTCCAGTACACAGTTCTGGTTGTTGGCCTACTTCTGGACTGTAATATGGTATCAGAACTTGAGTTCTGCGTGCACAACTGTTTTATAGAAGTAGCTTATTTGTATGCAGACTGTCAGTTCCTTGCCTCTTAGTCAGATGCGCTCCAAATTTGAAGGAAACAACCCTAATTAGTCAACTTTTAAGTCATGCATGAAAGGGGGTAGTGGGGTTACCCCCCCCCCCCCCCCCCCCATCCCCAAAGACCAAGATGAAGGTTTGCATTCTATTTAATTCTCCGCTCCAATTGGGTTTATTGATACCTCAACCATTTTCAATAAATTTCTAAAAAATTCTTTTTTGTTAGTTATGGAAACTATAATTTGACAAAGAAGAGGAGAAATACGTACATCTTGAAAGATCTGAACATCAAGGAAGATTGGCTAATTGACAGTTTGGAAAAAATCAATAGCAGAAAGCACGGTATTAGGAAGGAGGGGCAGGGACCGACCAACACGAAGATGGGCACAAGATATAAGTGACTCCTTGGGTATGAAAAGTACATGAGGCGGGAGAGCTGGTGAGAGACCGAGTTTCTTTCAGGCAGATCGTGATGAGAGGGACATTCTGCAAAGGACCTGCTACATGATGGATGATGGAAATGATTTATTTCAATGTATTAGTGACCCCCTGTGTAAACTAGTTTGGTTTCTAAAGGATTTTTGTTTGGAAATTCCAAGTTTAAAAGAGGGTTGTAAGAGAGAATGAATTTCTTCTTCTTCTTCACGTTCACCAGCTGTAAACTCTGGCGGAAAGTTCTGGTTGTTCATCCACTTCAGGGCTGCAGTCCTGTTCCAGAACCTGAGTGTTGCGTGTGCATCCGTTTTACAGATCTGACTCATTTGTATGCAGTCTGCTGGTTCCTTGCCTCTGAAGCAGATGCACTTTGACTTCGAAGGAAGCTCCCAGTTAGTCAACTCTTACATGCTTTTGGGTAGGCAGTGGGTCCATTCTTGTTTTCCCTATAACAGAGCCCCACAACCCACATGGAGAAGAATTAATCTAAAATACACATAGGGTGATCTATTTATTGCAAAGGAGACCAGAAAACTTGCGGGAACGATCATCAATCTGGACAGGATGTGAGCAGTCATGACGGAGAAGAAAGAGACAACTTACTATTTGCTCCACTTTTCCCGATGATGTGTTTGTGAAACTTTTGGTCAACCTGAATTTCTGCAAAGTCCATCCGGGTCATCTAATAGAAGGGAGTTGAAAAACAAATAGCTGGTGTGAGACAGCATCTTAATCTCCCATAAAAAAAATTATGTACCCGACATGTGATGTTATTAAGGCAAACACATTATGGCCAATTTACTGTAAGTAAAACAAGTTAAGGGAAGCCGCTGTAATGTAGGGGCTAGATGCTAGCCTGCAGATCTGTAGCTCGTGGGTTCAAATCCACACATGGCACAGAATTTTTTGGGTCACACATGACCTTGGCTCCAAGGTCATCATCAGTTCTTGTTATGCCTAGTGGCACATGAGGCTTCAGAGAGGACTTTCCATGCTTTCCTGTCCTGTGCCAATCTTCAGTGCAGTTTTCCATGTCAAAGATGCTGCACTCAGGTCACTTTGCATCGTTCGTCTCCATGTTGTTTTTTGGCTCCCAGGTCAACCCAACCTTAAATGGGTATCAGATACACCAGGTAAGTAAAGGCGGCCAGCGGGACGTTGACCACATAACCTACCGAGGGCCTAGCCTTCACTTTTCTTTTTAAAACAAGACAAATTAAGCAGCTATCCTTGAGACAGACAAAAAGTGTAAACTGATTAAACAGGTTTACATGCAGACTGTTTTCTTTGACATGTCAAAGTCGAGAGGATCGACTACTCTGCAGGATTTTATCCCATATGGCTCAGTCTCTCTCTGCAGAATGGCTCGCCATAAACTCTGTAGCTCCAGCAACGACCCCCAGGAATCTGTTAAAATTGCAGCTGTGAACCAAACATGGCAGCTATGAAATGAACCTGCAACTTTCAGAGCTTGAGGCACTTTTCTTAACCACAAAGACAAGTTATCAGAAGGAATGAACTTGGTAATAACTGGAATGACTGATGGAAAAAGAGCAAAGGAAAGGCAAAGTGATCAATCGTGGATGGTTAAGCCACACAGATGGAGGCTAGACAAGAACATTGATTTGTGAAGCCGGTGATCATGTGAGATGCCAAAACAAAACAGCCCTCTATTACTGACAAAAACACACTAAGAAGGGAATACTGGCCCAATGAGTCAACACCATAATCAAAGTTGTATGGAACTAAAAGGGAACACCTAAAAAGTCAATTTAAGTTGCTGATAAGACTGTTAAGTTGTTAAGATAATTACAGATTTTTTTACAGAAAAAAAGTTATAGAAAAGTTGGTTACATCACAGTTAAGATTGCTATGCTACAATGAACAAACATTAGCAGAAAATGTACATAATAAAAGCACACAAAAACTGAGCTGAAACAAGATAAACAATCTATTTTTAAAAACTCCAACAAGAAAAAACATCCACAAAAAAGTGAGTTAAACAAGAAGAAACATCCAAAAAAAAGTGAGTTAAACAAGAAGAAACATCCAAAAAAAGTGAGTTAAACAAGAAGAAACATCCAAAAAAAGTGAGTTAAACAAGAAGAAACATTCAAAAAAGTAAGTTAAACAAGAAGAAACATCCAAAAAAAAGTGAGTTAAAGAAGAAGAAACATTAAAAAAAAGTGAGATAAACAAGAAGAAACATCCAAAAAAAGTGAGTTAAACAAGAAGAGACATTCAAAAAAGTGAGTTAAACAAGAAGAACCATCCAAAAAAGTAAGTTAAACAAGAAGAAACATCCACAAAAAGTGAGTCAAACACGAAACTAACCAGATCAGCAACAAAGGCATTCAATTTCTCTGCAGCCTTGTTGACTTCCTCAGGGGGTCCTTCCACTGTGATTTTGTCCTGTCCTTCGGTGAACTCGATATGAACCTGTCACAGCACAAACAGAATTCATCAACAACTCTTCATACACACAGGATTGCAATGTACTTCCTTCTATCTAGTGGTTCAGTAACATTGCAGAGGGCTGGGACAGTGGCTGTCCCAGTAAACAGCAACAGTGTTGTGTAACACACTACTGCTCTTGTCCCCAGTAACACAATTGCCCTCATCCCCAGTAACACACAATTGCCCTCGTCCCCAGTAACACACCACTGCTCTTGTCCCCAGTAACACACAACTGCTCTTGTCCCTAGTAACACACAACTGCTCTTGTCCCTAGTAACACACCACTGCTCTTGTCCCCAGTAACACAACTGCTTTTGTCCCTAGTAACACACAACTGTTTTTGTCCCTAGTAACACACCACTGCTCTTGTCCCCAGTAACACAACTGCTCTTGTCCCTAGTAACACACAACTGCTCTTGTCCCCAGTAACACAACTGCTTTTGTCCCTAGTAACACAACTGCTCTTGTCCCTAGTAACACACCACTGCTCTTGTCCCCAGTAACACAACTGCTCTTGTCCCTAGTAACACACAACTGCTCTTGTCCCCAGTAACACACAACTGCTCTTGTCCCTAGTAACACACAACTGCTCTTGTCCCTAGTAACACACAACTGCTCTTGTCCCCAGTAACACACCACTGCTCTTGTCCCCAGTAACACACAACTGCTCTTGTCCCTAGTAACACACAACTGCTCTAGTCCCCAGTAACACAATTGCCCTCATCCCCAGTAACACACCACTGCTCTTGTCCCCAGTAACACACAACTGCTCTTGTCCCTAGTAACACACAACTGCTCTTGTCCCTAGTAACACACCACTGCTCTTGTCCCCAGTAACACAACTGCTTTTGTCCCTAGTAACACACAACTGTTTTTGTCCCTAGTAACACACCACTGCTCTTGTCCCCAGTAACACAACTGCTCTTGTCCCTAGTAACACACAACTGCTCTTGTCCCCAGTAACACACAACTGCTCTTGTCCCTAGTAACACACAACTGCTCTTGTCCCTAGTAACACACCACTGCTCTTGTCCCCAGTAACACAACTGCTCTTGTCCCTAGTAACACACAACTGCTCTTGTCCCCAGTAACACAACTGCTTTTGTCCCTAGTAACACAACTGCTCTTGTCCCTAGTAACACACCACTGCTCTTGTCCCCAGTAACACAACTGCTCTTGTCCCTAGTAACACACAACTGCTCTTGTCCCCAGTAACACACAACTGCTCTTGTCCCTAGTAACACACAACTGCTCTTGTCCCCAGTAACACACAACTGCTCTTGTCCCCAGTAACACACCACTGCTCTTGTCCCCAGTAACACACAACTGCTCTTGTCCCTAGTAACACACAACTGCTCTTGTCCCTAGTAACACACAACTGCTCTTGTCCCTAGTAACACACAACTGCTCTTGTCCCTAGTAACACACAACTGCTCTTGTCCCTAGTAACACACAACTGCTCTTGTCCCTAGTAACACACAACTGCTCTTGTCCCTAGTAACACACAACTGCTCTTGTCCCCAGTAACACACAACAGCTCTTGTCCCTAGTAACACACAACTGCTCTTGTCCCTAGTAACACACAACTGCTCTTGTCCCTAGTAACACACAACTGCTCTTGTCCCTAGTAACACACAACTGCTCTTGTCCCCAGTAACACACAACTGCTCTTGTCCCTAGTAACACACAACTGCTCTTGTCCCCAGTAACACAACTGCTCTTGTCCCCAGTAACACACCACTGCTCTTGTCCCCAGTAACACACAACTGCTCTTGTCCCTAGTAACACACAACTGCTCTTGTCCCTAGTAACACACAACTGCTCTTGTCCCTAGTAACACACAACTGCTCTTGTCCCCAGTAACACACCACTGCTCTTGTCCCCAGTAACACAACTGCTCTTGTCCCCAGTAACACACAACTGCTCTTGTCCCTAGTAACACACAACTGCTCTTGTCCCTAGTAACACACAACTGCTCTTGTCCCCAGTAACACAACTGCTCTTGTCCCCAGTAACACACCACTGCTCTTGTCCCCAGTAACACACAACTGCTCTTGTCCCTAGTAACACACAACTGCTCTTGTCCCCAGTAACACAACTGCTCTTGTCCCAGTAACACACAACTGCTCTTGTCCCCAGTAACACACAACTGCTCTTGTCCCTAGTAACACACAACTGCTCTTGTCCCTAGTAACACACAACTGCTCTTGTCCCCAGTAACACACCACTGCTCTTGTCCCCAGTAACACACCACTGCTCTTGTCCCCAGTAACACACAACTGCTCTTGTCCCTAGTAACACACAACTGCTCTTGTCCCTAGTAACACACAACTGCTCTTGTCCCTAGTAACACACAACTGCTCTTGTCCCTAGTAACACACCACTGCTCTTGTCCCCAGTAACACACCACTGCTCTTGTCCCCAGTAACACACAACTGCTCTTGTCCCCAGTAACACACAACTGCTCTTGTCCCCAGTAACACACAACTGCTCTTGTCCCTAGTAACACACAACTGCTCTTGTCCCCAGTAACACACCACTGCTCTTGTCCCCAGTAACACACAACTGCTCTTGTCCCTAGTAACACACAACTGCTCTTGTCCCCAGTAACACACAACTGCTCTTGTCCCTAGTAACACACAACTGCTCTTGTCCCCAGTAACACAACTGCTCTTGTCCCCAGTAACACAACTGCTTTTGTCCCCAGTAACACACAACTGCTCTTGTCCCCAGTAACACACAACTGCTCTTGTCCCCAGTAACACACAACTGCTCTTGTCCCCAGTAACACAACTGCTCTTGTCCCCAGTAATACACAACTGCTCTTGTCCCCAGTAATACACAACTGCTCTTGTCCCTAGTAATACACAACTGCTCTTGTCCCCAGTAACACACAACTGTTTTTGTCCCTAGTAACACACAACTGCTCTTGTCCCCAGTAACACAACTGCTCTTGTCCCCAGTAACACAACTGCTTTTGTCCCCAGTAACACAACTGCTTTTGTCCCCAGTAACACACAACCGCTCTCATCCCTAGCAACACAAAACTGTGACAACAACTTACCGTTGGGAAATTCTCTGTGATCTCCTTGATGTTGCTGCCTTTTCTGCCGATGATGAACCGATGCAGCCAGGCGGGAGCTGTCACATTGGAAAAGACCACACTGTTGGCCTGCAACACAAGACAACCAACATCAGTATATAGGTCCAGTCAATGACACTTTGAGGCAGGGCCATTCAACTAAGTTTACACCGAGACCAAATTGTTAGGGAATGGGGGAAATCGCTGCATGCCAAAGTCAAGAGTTTCAGCACAGAGAGATCATCAATACAATACGACCTCAGGTGATCCGCGGGCCACTCGCTAGGCCACTGTGGCCCAGATTTAACAGCCCTGACTTGAGGTACATAATTTAGTTAATGGCATTTAGCTAATATTTTATACAGATAATCTATATGTATCAGGTAGGTAAATGATACATCAAGGTTACATATATGCAAAAACTATACCTATTATTTACAGCAAAATTACACACAGCTAGAGAGAATACATTACAAATTAAAGTCGTCAAATGTTATATATACTCAACCCTCTGTATGATGCAGAAATTTGAGCTGTAAACCGGCAGAAGAAAATCAAAACTCAGTCTTTGGAAACGTGGATATAGAAGAATAGGTCATAGTTCACAGAAACAAAAACAATCCAATACAGAGGTTCAGAAAAGCCTGCAAATGAAAACATAATTATTTAAAGAAATAAAAAAGAGACAAATATTTTGGCCACATTTAAAGACATTACATATTTAAAAACCATACTGGAGAAAAAGGTCAAAACAGCAAGAGGTAGATAATGTTATAAATGGGAGGACAACATCCAGGACAAGAGACAGAACCTGCAGAGATCCACTGCAGCCAACCTTCACTGTGGAGAAGGCACCTAAATGATTGAATAACTAGACATGGTGAACTATATGTTGCAAGTAATAAATCTGGCACAGTGTAGTTAACTATATGTAATAACTAGACAAACAGGCATGGCCATAATTAACTATATGTGTACTATACGTGTATCTGTACCTTGCTGTAAACTTCGGTCAAGGCTTGACCCAGTTTCTCCTGCTCGCCTCTCAGTGTGATGGTCTCCGATGGAGAGTTTGGATCTGGCACCTCGACAGAAACTCCAGTATTGGCCAGGATTTCCTGAATGTTGGCGTAGCGTGGCCCGACCACATACTTGTGCTGCGACTTCTTCACCTCCACAGAAATAGTTTGGCATTTTCGTTTCTGGCGAGAGAAACAAGAAACAATGAGGTTACAAACTGGCAACAGGGTAAAAAAGCTGAATGACTGGATTCTAACAAATACTTCAACATGGTGGCCACAGTGAAAAGTGTTACAACAGGATGGTGGCGATTCTTAGACAAACATATTTTTTTTGATAACGTCAGCCTTTTTTCTAGAAAACAAGATGCCATTACACACGATAAAGTATACAAAACAAGGTGGTATTAATGCCTACAAAGTGTATTTACAGCAGTGCTGAAAAAAGATGTCTAAAATAGGTGCGGGTACCGACTACCACTGCGTACCACTTCTTCTTCCTTTCTCTACTCTTGAATGCCTGGCAGCATCAGGGGAGGAAGGGATCTCTAGAAGTGGCCCTTCTGTTCGCTTTGTATAAAGTACTTTTCAGTGTCTCTGATATTTCTGCGGTCCATCTTCTGCGTGGTCAACCTCTGGGTCAGTGACTACTGTATAATACTGCTCTCTGTGGTGCCCTGTCTGCTTCCAATAGAAGGGAAAAACTTGATGTCACCATCATATGCATTGCCGGCAATAAGTGGAGAATTACCAAACAGGCACTGAAATGGGAAGCAAATGTATTAAGGAAATGAGGATGCCAAAGAAAGCCCTAAGATAAATATTAATGAAAAAAGCCCAAGGCACTGGTCTGAATTCTATCCATCATACTTAAGAAGACTGTATGGGGAAGAATGGAAAGAAGGAAAAGACATGGGAAAGAATAGAATGGAGGAATTGTACAGGAAAGAATGGAAGGAGGAAGAGCATGTGACATGACTTAACAACAGCAAAAAAGTATGTTGAAGATTGATGACAGGCACAGGAAAAACATACTTCACCACATCTAATCATCTCTCCACACAAATGTATCTAAATGGGGCAGAATTAAAGATTACAGTCTCTTAATAGATGAGTTAATCCTTTCACCCTAGAAATCTAAGAGAAACTGACCGTGAACCTATAGGAATTTCCAAATAAATTACAGAAAAAAATAATCCCTTTTTTTAAATAGGTCACTGATAACTTTTAACTATTTATTTATCTGCATCTAAGCCATTTTCTCTGAAAATATTGAAAGAGTTATAAAGGGCCCACTCAATGAACATGAAAAGAGTGAAGCAGTGAATGGAATACATTCTCAGGGCCTTAACAAAATTGGACCCCTGTCCAGTATCAGTGAGGTGTATAGGGAAAATCTGACGTCACAGTGGCGATTTCCTGGGAAAACATACCCAAGTGTTATTTTTAGCTAATATATTCATAATCTGTCTCCCTAATTGTTTGCACAGGTGCAAATTGGCATTAACTAGGAATCTCATAAAAATTTCCATATATGGAAGTGAATCATGGAAAGTTGGTAAAGTAGTGAAAACCTTTATGGAAGCATCATGACATGGACTATCTTCTGTATCAGAGCTGACTGAAAGTACACAAGGCGGAACTCTGTATCAGAGCTGACTGAAAGTACACAAGGCGGAACTCTGTATCAGAGCTGACTGAAAGTACACAAGGCAGAACTCTGTATCAGAGCTGACTGAAAGTACACAAGGCAGAACTCTGTATCAGAGCTGACTGAAAGTACACAAGGCAGAACTCTGTATCAGAGCTGACTGAAAGTACACAAGGCGGAACTCTGTATCAGAGCTGACTGAAAGTACACAAGGCGGAACTCTGTATCAGAGCTGACTGAAAGTACACAAGGCGGAACTCTGTATCAGAGCTGAATGAAAGTACACAAGGCGGAACTCTGTATCAGAGTTAACAAAGTACACAAGGCAGATCTTCTGTATCAGAGTTAACAAAGTGCACAAGGCGGAACTCTGTACCAGAGTTAACAAAGTACACAAGGCAGATCTTCTGTACCAGAGTTAACAAAGTACACAAGGCAGATCTTCTGTATCAGAGTTAACAAAGTACACAAGGCAGATCTTCTGTACCAGAGTTAAAGTACACAAGGCAGACCTTCTGTACCAGAGTTAACAAAGTACACAAGGCAGATCTTCTGTATCAGAGTTAACAAAGTACACAAGGCGGATCTCTGTATCAGAGTTAACAAAGTACACAAGGCAGATCTTCTGTATCAGAGTTAACAAAGTACACAAGGCAGATCTTCTGTATCTGAGTTAACAAAGTACAAAAGGCAGAAGAGCTACCGACCTTTTCCTCATAGACTGCCATGATAGCCTGCTTAGCGCGGAGCACCCCATCCTTCTCGCCAGACACCACAATCTCATCCTTGTGAGGGGGCACGCTGATCTTGGCCCCTGTCTCCTCGCTCAGCCGATTGATGTTCTCCTTGTTGGGCCCACAGATGAACGGATGGTATACTTTTGGAATCGGAAGTCGCTCAAACGCCAGTTTTGCCTAAAAATATGTCAAAATGAAGTCAGCCATAAGTAAAAAAATTTTAGCGGTGCTTTATTTTCAGTCATAAATTGGGCACACAGACCCATATGGCACTTCTAAATACCTATCCTTCTTCACATAGCAACTGTATTTTATCTGCAAAGTATATTATGTTCATATAACAGTAAACATAAAAGAGTATCAAGTAAAATACACACAAGCAAAGGTTATAAATAATCAGCTGCTTGCCTCATTCAATCCGATTCTATGCTTTAAAAAAAAGTCAAACAGCATACCCAAATTGGTTGCTTTTGGTTATAATTATGACTAGGTTATGTGCGCCAAGTAAAATGGCTTATCACCGCACACCACCAAGAGGACTGAAAAGGACTCCTGGGGTGTTGATGCGATCACAGGACAGACCTACCGCCCCGACCAGCAACAAAGTCGTCTACCGGCGAACCAATGGGTCACCTGGTCCCTGCCTCACCCACTCAGTATCATGGGTTCATCCTCCATGTGTGGGTTCTGGGAGCCCCATTTGGAGGAGGGGGCAGGGGGGGGGGGGGGGGTAGAGCCCCTGCCCCCATGAAAGCATGTCATAAAAGGACATATTAGGGACGTTTTCTTTCAAGTGGGAGTGCTTTTGCCCAAGACGAGAAACCGACAGTCCGCATACAAATAAGACAGATCTGTAAAACACTGGTGCACGCAACAAGACTAAATTCCAGAAGTAAATGAGCAACCAGAACTGTCTGTGCGTATGCACATAAATATATAAATGTGAGTGTATGTATGAGGACATATGAGTTTGTATATGTCTGTAAAGTGTGAATTGTGGGTGTGTAAGTATAAGCAAGTGTGTGTATATATGCGCATGTGTCGGTGTGTTTATATTATTATTTATATATGCATCATCATCATGTAGCATGTCTTTTTCAGAAAGTCGCTTTCATCGTAGTCTTCCTAAAAGGAAACCGGTCTCTCGCCAGCTCTCCCGCCTCATGCACTTTCATATTCAAGGAGTCACTTATACCCTGTGCCCATCTTTGTGTCTCTTGACCCCTGCTACTCCTTCCTGGTACCATGCTTGATATGGACATATTTATGCACGTGTGTATGTTGGAATTGTGTATTCTGCTACACGAGCATAACATGTTAAAAATACAGTTGATGTGTGAAAGATGAGTGGAAGGGCTGAATGTAAGATGGCCTGCGTGCCCAACTTGTGACCCCTGAAACAAAGTTTTGTTCATTTCACTGGAGTTGACTATTAAATATTTACTATTTAATATCTGCTACAGTGTTAAACGCTATGAAGATAAGAATCTAAACAATCCTGTACTATTATAGATCTCACCTGTTCTTCGTGGATTGCCTCAATTTCATGCCTTGCCTTATCGATCCCCTCCTTGGCGCCGACGATGCGGATCTCGTTGGGATTGCTATTCTTGTCGTCAGCGCGAGGGAGAGAGACCTTGGTGGCGGTGGTCAGCTCAATCTCCTGCAGTTTCTTGCCACTTTTCCCCAGGATGAAGCGATGATACTCTCGTGGAATGTTGAGTACAACACAAGCCTGCAAGTCACAGACAAGGATTATAAACAACACAAGCCTGCAAGTCAAGGACAAGGATTATAAACAACACAAGCCTGCAAGTCACAGACAAGGATTATAAACAACACAAGCCTGCAAGTCACAGACAAGGATTATAAACAACAAAAGCCTGCAGGTCACAGACAAGGATTATAAACAACAAAAGCCTGCAAGTCACAGACAAGAATTATAAACAACACAAGCCTGCAAGTCACAGACAAGGATTATAAACAACACAAGCCTGCAAGTCACAGACAAGGATTATAAATAACATAAGCCTGCAAGTCACAGACAAGGATTATAAACAACACAAGCCTGCTAGTCACACAAAAAACAGATTTAGGTGAGGGGCCAAGCATCAATATAATCATAAATTTCCACTTCTGCCTTTAAGCATCGTACAGAGGAACAGTTTGTGATCCACTGCCTGATAGGCAGCAATGGTTACCGTCATTTTGTGCTGACATAGAAATTCATTATGGTCAAAGCATCAAACACAAAAAAGGCTTAAATGGAGTGAAAAGGGGTAACCCTAGTGGTATCAGCTGGTCGGCACATTTTAAATCTCCAGATGATACTGTGCTGGAGAAAAGCATGGGAATTTTATCAGGCAGTGAGGGCGAGTGTGACGAGCAAAACCTGCTCACACTAGGAAAATATTCCAGAATTAAAGGGTAGGATTGCAGCAACACTGTTGCCACTGCGCGTATTTAGCATATTTCTCTCTTTTTTTTAAAAAAAGGTCTTATTGATATGAATCCAAAAACACAGGATACTGGACAACATACAGGAAGCACACATATGTTATTGGAATATTTGAGTAATTAGGTGTTGGTAGTGGTGTAAGATGTGGTTGGAGGTTTATTTTGCAACATATTTCTCCCTAGTTAGGCAGCTCGTTGCCTTAGTTTGAACATATCTCTCCTTAGGCAGCTCATTACCTTAGTTTGAATATTTTTTCCTTTAGTTAGGCAGCCCATCACCTTAGTTTAAACATATCTCTCCTTAGGCACCTCTTTACTGATCCAATAATGTTTGCCTGCAGCACAGTCCATAGCATCCTCTTCCTACAACCTCAGTACTTCATCATTCATCATATCCGTCTTCTTCTGCGTTCTCCCTGGTGTTGTTTTATACGGCTAAGTTGCAATATCTGCTCCTTTCGGCCCAACAAATCTTCATCTTCACGTTCACCAGCTGTAAACTCCGGCGGAAAGTTTAGGTTATCCGTCCACTTCTGGACTCTAGTCCTGTTCCAGACACTGAGTATTGCGTGTACATTCATTTCACAGGTCTGACTCACTTGCATGCAGACTGTTTTTTGGTTCCTTGCCTCTTGGGCAGATGAGCTTGGACTTCGAAGGAAGCTCCCAATTAGTTACGACATGCTTTTGGGCAGACAGTTTCTATTCTTGTTTTCCTCCACAATGGGACCCTGGAACAAACACTGGGCCCATAGATCCTATTTCAGCAAACCCTCAAAATAAGGCTTCATAACCCACATGGGAAGTTCAAGTAAAACTTGCACATAGTAGAGGCCAACCTCCACATCTCTTCCTCATCTGTAATTCATCACAGAGGAGGGCCTTAATAACTCTTCCACCCTCCGAGTATGTTCTGGACTTTATACTCCGCTGTGCCCTCAGACAAATACATTAAAAAAAACTACTGCACAGATTAAAAGGAATTTTTCCGAGATGTTTCAGGTCCTTATGATTTCATAATTTACAACTGCACAGGTGCCGATGCTTTTGTACAGTGGTGAATTTCTTTGATTCTTATCAGACTAATAATTTGTATACCCCTAATAAACATATACACACACACACACACAAACCCCCCCTCACCCTAAGGAGGGCAGTGTCACCTACCTGCGTCTGCAGCTTGTTGACCACTTCTCTGCGAGCTTTCATCACAGCGTCCTGTCGTCCAGTGATTACAACGGTCATACTCTGATCTTTGGCCAAACTCAGCTCAATGGACACCCCTGGAAACATGTCAGTCAAAATGTGGTCCACCATCTCACGAATATACTTTCAAGCAATTGTTTTCGCGCATTTTTTTTTTTTACATACACACGAAAGCAAACTTTTATTATCTAAAATTTGCTACAAGTTTTTCTAAGCAATCAAGAGAGCAAGACAAATCATTTAAAACCAGCAACTTTACAAATATTCAAGCCTTTGAAATAAATATTCATTTAAATCTCTGAATGACTTAAAACAATCTTACAAATATTTTAACCAATCATTACAAAAACAAATAATCCAATACCTTTTCTAACCAATCAATAGAAGAGAAATCACCTTACAAATTTACTAACCAATCGAAAAAAAAAGAAGCTTTTATACAAACAATCTATAGATTTTACCCCATGAAAAACCTAATAAACAATATCATTACAGACTTTACTTAATGAAAAACTAGATAAGCAATATCAACTTTAACTAATGAAAAGCTAGATAAACAATATCCACTTTAACCAATAAAATCTAGATAAACCATATCCCTACAGAAAAATGAAAAAACTAGATAAACCATATCCCTACAGACTTTAACCAATGAAAAAGTACATAAACAACACCCCGACAGGTATCAACCAATGAAAAACAATAATTACTTCACAAGCAAACAGCCAAAGTTAACCAATAGCAAACATGATTCTATAAATAACCTATCACTTAGATGAAAAGATTTGACGACAGGTACCAGTTTTTTGCATGATTTCCTTGCATATTTTCATTTGGTCACTCTCTTCTCCAAACTGGCGCTCGTTCATCTCCTTGAACTTGCGTTCTTCGAGTGGGACAGTGAACACCTGAAAAAAATGAGTGGCTGTGTGAGTCGCAGGTGAGAACGGAACTTCACAACAAAAATACTAGCTGTTTAAAATGTTTTGTTTTCTTCTTCTTTGTTCATCTGCTGTAAAGTCTTAGTTGTTTGTCCGTTTGGTCTTTGACTTAGTGCCAGGGGCTGAGTTTTGAATGCACATCCATTTTACTGGCTTACTTGTGTGCAGTTGGTTGTTCTTTGCCGCTGGGGAAGATGCACTCTGACTTTGAAGGAAGCTCGCAATTAGTTGATTTATACGACATACTTGTAAAGGAGGCAGTGGGTCTATTCTTGTAGTCCCTATAATGGGGCACCAGAGTCCCCATGGGAAGTTTTGTTGTCAACTGGAAATGTGAATCTGGCAAGAAAGGATGAAGGAGAGGAAGGTGACAATATGTGTGCAGCCAGTATGCTGCTTGGAACAAGGGAACCACAACCCACAGCGACGGTGGCTGTGACCAACAAGACCTGCTCGTGATAAGAAGAATCTTCAACAATAAGCGCATGAGATTTCAGGACCATCATTGCCAACCCAAGCGTCTGACAGCTTTCTTCTGAGACTCGACCATGGATAGTATTTCAGAGACCAAGTGTTGCCTATTCAGCATGAGTATGATCACTCTCTAAGCCTACTCTGTTCACTCAAAGGAAATGGAGTTTCCATATCAAGTAAAGGACCTTTTCCAAACTGGGCATTCAGGGCTAGACCTATGTTTTATAGACCAATCGGAACTGGATAAGGTCAGCATTGCGCCAGCCACATTCACTCCCTAGAACTGTACCTGGTTGGTACCCACTCAAGGCTGGGTTGACCTGAGAGCCAATGTCAATTCTGTTACACTACTTTGCGGTGAACTGATGAATGACAAGCTAGATGCTGCAAGGGCCCTTTGTGAGCAAGTGAGCCATGCAAAGGCACAAATACAGCATTAGAATCTGAGGAGAATCGCACTGGGGGGAGTTATCAAGTGATCTGGCTGATGCACAACACTCAGAGAAGAGACAAGACTGATGTATGATCAGACAATTAATGGTACCATTGTAATTTGAACTCTTCGTTTGCTGCTGAGGATGGGGACAGAGGGAATGTGGGAGTGTCCGGAGTGCTATGAAGTCGATTGATGGTTCAACATTCAACAGCATACCCACAGGTGCTTCGTCTCTAGCTGCAAATGTCTGAAGGTAGACATGTTAACTGTTCCAAGTAGCAAACTGGTTGCACACATTTTGTACCCATCCTCTCATTCATTCTTTCTTGTCAGATCCACTTTTGCAGCCACATAATCTGCTTGTTTCTTACCATGCACTCCTAAATGTCCCGGAGAGTACATCTATCGAAGTCTCCGTAAAGTTTATGGGCTGAAGGTGTTATCCACTCATGCCACATTTGTCCATTTTGAGGAAAAAACAGTTAACTCTTTGAGTCCCAAACATCGCATAATACATTACTTAACTTCTGAATCTCCTCCCTAGCTTAAAATATGTTCTCTTAATTTTTGTATTTAGTCAGAACATACTCAGAAAATCTGGCATCAGATGGTCACTACCACTGTTAAATTACTGTTATTAAAATATTGCATTGATGAATTTTAATCCATGGATATTTCCTCATTGGTGTTTGTTACGAAACCTTCTGGCACTAAAAGAGTTAATGAAAGAACATTTCTAGAAACATAACCACACGTCTGCTCACCTGAGTACACTTGGACTGTCGAGTGACAAATTTGGGCTGCCAGGCAACAGAGGGCACCAACTCTGGCCGAGCATCAGCTGACAGAGCAGGGAATGCATTGTCGTACGTTGGAGGCTCTGGTTCGAACGCCTGGAGGTCAATGCTGCTGACCCCTGCTCCGTCGTGTTCCAAGCTTGATGCCATCGTAAACAAATTGCAGGATAGGTTTAGACTTGCCGAGTCGTACAGTACCTGAGGAGGAAACAATACAAATGTGAGTTTACACTTGCCAAGTTGTACAGTACACTGGCCAGGAGGAAACAATACAAATGTGAGTTTACACTTGCCAAGTTGTACAGTACACTGGCCAGGAGAAACAATATAAATGTGAGTTTACACTTGCCAAGTTGTACAGTACACTGGCCAGAAGGAAACAATACAAATGTGAGTTTACACTTGCCTAGTTGTATAGTACACTGGCCAGGAGGAAACAATACAAATATGAGTTTACACTTGCCAAGTTGTACAGTATACTGGCCAGGAGGAAACAATGCAAACATTAGACTTTAGACTTGCCAAGTAGTACAGTATACTGGCCAGGAGGAAACAATACAAACAGTAGACTTTAGACTTGCCAAGTAGTACAGTACACTGGCCAGGAGGAAACAATACAAACATTAGACTTTAGACTTGCCAAGCTGTACAGTATACAACACAAATTTTAAAAATGCAACCATCAGAATCTCATATTCATATCGCTACAACCTAGGTTAAAATGGGATACAGTCTGGGTTATAATGGGATATAGTCTGGGTTATAATGGGATATAGTCTGGGTTATAATGGGATATGTGCTGATAACTGGGATGCAGAGCTTGGTTAATATTTGTGAAGCAGCCTTGGTTAAAACTGTTATGCTGTTGACACTTTTGTGTCTTCCCAGACAATAGTGTTTTACTGTGTTATGAGAAGGCATGGCACTCACAGCCCATGGCGATGGCAAGTACTACTAGCAAAACCCGCCCACGTTAAGAAAAGTGTCCACAACTGCAGCATGGGATTTCAGGACCGTTGTTGTCAGAATTTGTAATTAGCATGTTTCTACTCTGATGCTCAGCTTTCAACCTTTCTGTAATCATTTCTTCCTTTCCTTATGTGCCCTTTCCATGCAACTCGGTCCATGGCATTTTGTTTCCATGAGTTCACCTCAATACCTGTATCATTCATGCCCTGCTTGCAAACAACTTTATATCGCATTTGAGGTCAGTCTTGACCCATGTGTAATTCACCACATAGGATGTCCTTAAGGACTTTGCCATCTCCCATATGATACAGCCTGGGTTATAACTGGGACATAATCAGGGTTAAAACTAGGAAATGGAGTTATGTTAGCCTAGTTTATACACAGGATTGATTCCGAGATAAAACCTGGATTATAACTGGGATATAGACTGAGATCTCGTTGTTGGTATACAGCTGTCTACAATGTCTCTGTGACTGTTGCATCTGCAATGTCTCTGTGACTGTTGCATCTACAATGTCTCTGTGACTGTTGCATCTGCAATGTCGCTGTGACTGTTGCATCTGCAATGTCTCTGTGACTGTTGCATCTACAATGTCTCTGTGACTGTTGCATCTACAATGTCTCTGTGACTGTTGCATCTACAATGTCTCTGTGACTGTTGCATCTTCAATGTCTCTGTGACTGTTGCATCTACAATGTCTCTGTGACTGTTGCATCTATAATGTCTCTGTGACTGTTGCATCTACAATGTCTCTGTGACTGTTGCATCTACAATGTCTCTGTGACTGTTGCATCTACAATGTCTCTGTGACTGTTGCATCTACAATGTCTCTGTGACTGTTGCATCTACAATGTTTCTGTGACTGTTGCATCTACAATGTCTCTGTGACTGTTGCATCTACAATGTCTCTGTGACTGTTGCATCTTCAATGTCTCTGTGACTGTTGCATCTACAATGTCTCTGTGACTGTTGCATGTACAATGTCTCTGTGACTGTCGCATCTATAATGTCTCTGTGACTGTTGCATGTACAATATCTCTGTGACTGTTGCATCTACAATGTCTCTGTGACTGTTGCATCTACAATGTCTCTGTGACTGTTGCATCTACAATGTCTCTGTGACTGTTGCATCTACAATGTCTCTGTGACTGTTGCATCTACAATGTCTCTGTGACTGTCGCATCTACAATGTCTCTGTGACTGTTGCATCTACAATGTCTCTGTGACTGTTGCATCTACAATGTCTCTGTGACTGTTGCATCTTCCAATGTCTCTGTGACTGTTGCATCTACAATGCCTCTGTGACTGTTGCATCTACAATGTCTCCTTGACTGTTGCATCTACAATGTCTCTGTGACTGTTGCATCTACAATGTCTCTGTGACTGTTGCATCTACAATGTTTCTGTGACTGTTGCATCTACAATGTCTCTGTGACTGTTGCATCTACAATGTCTCTGTGACTGTTGCATCTTCAATGTCTCTGTGACTGTTGCATCTACAATGTCTCTGTGACTGTTGCATAGATATTCATTCATTGTCCTGTTGCGGTGCCATTATATGTCATACAGGGATCACAGCCCATTCCTTCACTCCGTTCTATCCGTGTAATGAGTTCAAAATCATGGATGGAATCAGTCCAGCAGCTTTGTCTTCTCTCATCAGCATTCGTTTTAGCATTTCTTTAGTCGCTTATGTTACAATCCACCAATCAATCAGGCACCATCTCTACAATGAACGTTGGCTGCAATGGGTCTCCAACACACTCTCTCATGTCTTGGTTGTTCACTCTCTCAGACTGCTGCCCGTCCACCTCCTGATGTTGTCCTCCCTCTTGTAATGTCCAAGTCTTGCTCTTTTGCCCTCAACTTTTTCCTCTAGTAAGGTCTTTAAAAACGTGTTATGTCTTTTAATATGGCCAAAGTATTTCAAGTATCTTTTTTTTTTTTAAACTTCTTTCAGCAATTCTTTTTTTCCATTCAAATTCTTTCAAGAACCTCTGTATTGGACTGTTGTTGTTTTCATGAAACACGACCTATTCTTCAGTACATCCACATCTCCAGAGACTCAATTTGATTTTCTAACTGCTTGTTTAATGTCCAAGTTTCTGTACCATTACAATTAACAAACAGAAAATGTTATCAGAGATGAGATGTCTCAGGGGAGCTGCCAGAGTAACTAAGTATAAACATGGAGTATGACTAAGACTGAAATCAGTCCTACAATTCACTAAAGAGCAACAGCTGAAATGGCTTGAACAGCTGATATGGCTTGGACAGCTGATATGGCTTGGACAGCTGATATGAATTGGACAGCTGATATGGCTTGGACAGCTGATATGGCTTGGACAGCTGATATGGCTTGGACAGCTGATATGGCTTGGACAGCTGATATGGCTTGGACAGCTGATATGAATTGGACAGCTGATATGGCTTGGACAGCTGATATGGCTTGGACAGCTGATATGGCTTGGACAGCTGATAAAAATGTCCTGGTCTCAACTGCCACAGAGAGGCATGCTGAAGAAATGTGAACACAGAGAATGGAAGAGAACCAAGCAAAAAATGGAATGGCAGCATCAAGAACCAAAAAAAAAAAAAAAAAAACATTAAGAACAAGACAGCATTAAGAACTCTCTTAAATTGAGAAGCTCTGAACCAGCCCAGTAAGATGATCTATGGGCTGGCAAAACTGTAGGTGTGGATGCCTTACACCTCTCACTGATAGTCTTATATTAGCCAAGTACTTAACTAATTATATATGGTCAACCTGGATAGTAAGGCAAAGCTACAGGCTAGCAAAGATAAGGAGGTTCCTTACATCTCCAAATGGCCAAGTATGCTATAGTCAGTTACACAACTAAGGGTACAACGTGATAAATCTTGACCTGTCCACAAGATGTTCTGCAGGTTAGCAAAAGTACACAGGTGCCTTACATCTCCTAATGACTGTGTCTACCCTACCCGGCTACCCAACTAAAGGTACAACACACTGAACTCCAGAAGGTACAGGGTGAGAAGGCAGCACAGACAAACCTGAAGATAAGGAATGAGATCAAGTACCTATACACACAAAAGATAAGAATTTAAGCAGGGGCTATTCTTCTCCCTAAGGTTACTGCCTTCATTAGAGATTGTTGCAAAACATGTCAATAATGTAGAGAAACAAATCAATCATAAACGAAATGTAACTAGACAGAAACAGCTCAGGAATCAAACCCAACCAACACCCAGTTGAGACAGGGCTACCTGTTGGGAAGTAGGAAGACATTGTGAGGTGACGTCGTGACTCCTGCTGCGGTACAATGACGACGTGTCAATGATTAACTACTACGACATTCACCATCCCTCACTCTTGTCGATAATCTGAACCCAACCCCGACATGGAAGGTGACCTGCAACAAACTTCATTCAGAACAAAGAGTTTCTCCTTCTGTAAGCCATTCCACGTAGACAAGACAGCAGACACATAGACAAACAAGCCATGTCTATATTTTCACCTCTCTCTCACTAGTAGTAACATTATCTACTTACAAGTACTGTGTCCGTAAAAATCAGTCCTAAACGTTACTTCTCGTTTCTTCGAACTCCACTGTGGCTGAATATTTCATCTGAAAGATAATCAAGTAGACAAGAATGAAATAAAGTGTGAAATTGGGGATAAAACGCCGAGAAAAGACAAGGAAGGGCTGCAGACTTACCAACCACGGCCAGCAAAAGTGAGACTTTCTCCAACAACACCTCCTTCCTCGCCCTCTGTATTCCTGCGCCTTGAGGGACTTCCCTTTGCGTCGCCGCTTTCTATTGGCTGTCATTGTGAACTTGTGGCAAGTTTCACACATCTTCTCCAATCAAAAAACGTTTAACAGCCATGTACTACTAGCAAATATTTCTATATTTTCCTTCTATTTTTAATGTTATTAGAAAATTAAATTAATGAAATTTATTTTTATTTACTGAAGATGAAAGTTTCAATTGGAGAAATTATGTTAGCGGCTTAATTGCAGTTTTTGTGTGGATTCCCGAGAGGTCATAGTTGAAAGGTGACGGGAAGACCCAAGTGGGTGTGATTTAATGTGCGAAGTCACGTGCTCGTGTCTATTTTAGGAAACCGATGGCAGGGAGTTTCACGAACACCCTCCTGGCATCATGTACCTTGCACATACCTGCAGCAACCCCTACA